CGTTTTGGGCCCGGGCGTCCTCCTCCCTCTCTCCGTTCCCCCCAAGAGGTCTCCCAGAGGCCCTGCACCAAGCCCTGCCCGGCCTTCCGATGCAGCACCCCTCTCTTCCCAAGCCCCGCCGCCTTCCTGGCCAGGCGCGGCTCTTTCACACACACACACACACACACACACACACACACCGCTTCCCCGTAGCTCATGGGGCAGCCACAGTGCTCTGATCCTTCCCTCCCTTATCTTCTATTTTTCCTCCCTCCCCTCCCCTTCCCTCCTCTTTCTTTCTTTCCTTCCTTCCTTCCTTTACATATCTTCTGTTCTTTGTTTCCTTCCTCCCTTCCCTTCCCTTTCCTTCCCTTCCCTTCTTTCCCCTTCTGTCCTACCTTTCCTTTCCATTCTTCCCTTCTTCACCTTATCTTCTGTCCTTCCTTTCCTTCTTTGTTATCTTCTGCCCGTTCTTTCCTTCCTTCCCTTCTTCCCCTTCTGTTTCTCCTCCCTCCTACCCTTCCCCTTCCTTCCTTCCTTCCTTCCTTCCTTCCTTCCTTCCGTTCCGTTTCCTTCTTCCCCTTATCTTCTGTCTTTCCCTCCCTTCTTTCCCCTTCTGTCCTACATGGGGTGAAAGAGCGAAGGGCCGCCCCCCCCCCCCCCAGCAACTCCCAAATGTCAAGGTCTTCCCCAAACTCTACAGTGTTCAAATTTTGCCATCTTTCTGTTGGTTCACAGTGTTCTCCAGATGTAAGTGGACTGCTATTATTATTGTTGTTGTTGTTGTTCTTATTATTAACCTGAAGCTGGCTGTCTCTCAGGAGTGGTTAGATTGTGCTTCTCCCATTTCCCAAAAGGGGCTGGTCTGGATGGCCCCTTCAGGTCTCTTCTATACTAGGATTCTTCTATGATGATGATGATGATGATGATGATTAATAGTAGTAGTAGTAGTAGTAGTAGTAGTAGTAGTAGTATACTGAGACTGAATGGCCATCTCTCAGGAGTGGTTTGATTGTGCTTTTCCCTTATGCCAGAAGGGGCTGGACTAGATGGCCCTTGGAGGTCTCTTCCATAAAAATGCTCTGTGCATAATGACTGCCTTAAAAACGAAAGAACCAATGAACGAAATCATACCAAATTTGGCAAAAAAATGTCTCACAACACAAGGAGTGACCATCACTCAAAAAATTATGATTTTGTCATTTGGGAGTTGTAACTGCTGGGATTTATAGGTCACCTATATTCAAAGAGCATTCTGGACTCCACCAACGATGGAATTGAACCACACGTGGCATACAGGAATCCCCTGACCAACAGAAAATATTGGAAGGGTTTGGTGGGCCATTGACCTTCAGTTTCGGAGTTGTAGTTCACCTACATCCAGAGACCACTACAGACTCAAACAATGATGTATCTGGACCACACTTGGCACAAGCACTCAATACACCCAAATATGAACACAGATGGAGTTTGGGGGAAATAAACCTTGACATTTGGGAGTTTTAGTTACTGGGATTTATGGTTCACCTGCAATCAAAGAGCATTCTGAACCCCACGAACGACAGAATCAGGGCAAACTTCCCACACAGAACCCCCGTGACCAACAGAAAATACTTGAGGCCATCCAATCCACCTCCCTTCATCAGGGCAAGAAAATGTAATCAAAGTCCTCCTCACAAAGACCCATCCAGCCATAGACATGATAGATAGATAGATAGATAGATAGATAGATAGATAGATAGATATGATTCACACACAGAGATATAGTATCATAGATTTGAAAGGGACCCTTAAAGAAGGAGAACTATATGTTGCATGTTCCAGGATGGGCAAACTAGGCACTCTCCACATCAACACTGACAAAGAAACAGCAAGAAATACTGTGTACCCATAAGCAGAAAGAAATTACATATATTAGAAACCAACACTTTCTCATTACTTTATTTGCCAGATCAACAGACTGGGCCACAGCAACGCGTGGCAGGGGACAGCTAGTGCATTATAGAATCATAGAATCATAGAGTTGGAAGAGACCTTGTGGGCCATCCAGTCCAACCCCCTGCCAAGAAGCAGTGGAGATGGGTTCAAAGTCTAGGAGTGACTTGAAAGCTGCAGAGAAGACCCTGGGAAGATAGAGCCTCACTCCTGATTTATTGTTGGACTGAGATTTGCTTTATCTAACTATGCTTCTGGTGTGAGAGAATTGGCTGTCTGCAAGGACATTGCCCAAGGGACGTCCGGATGTGTTACCATTCTGTGGGAGGCTTCTCTCGTGGGAAGATGGAGCTGACAGATGGGAGCTCACCCCATCTCGTGGATTCAAACCGCTGACCTTCAGGTCAGCAATTTAGCCAGCACACGGATTTAACCCATATCGCCACTGTACAGAAGTCGCTTCTGACACGACATTCTCAAGTCGCTTCTGACATGATTTTTTTAAAATTCTGTGCGGTCTTTTCAGGCAAAAAGGAACTCCTTTTTATTTTCCTTGGCTTTCCAATTTGTAGCTTTATTGCCTTTTACAGATTTTTTTATTGTTGCTGGTTTTAATTGATTCAGATTTTATGTTTGTGTTTTATTTCTATCTGTGTGGTTTAAAACATTTGTTTTTGAATTGCCAAGCACATTTTATGGCTTGTATTTGAAATGTTGTATGTGAATTAATAACTTTTCTAGGAGAAAGGGGCTCAAGAGAGCCAGACACCGTTTGGAGTGTTGACTGAAATCTGGAGAAATCCAATTCTGCTTAATAAGCTGTCTAAGTCATCCTGGGTCTGTACTGTCTCTGTGCTGTCTTTCTACCTAACCTGCTTCCCAAGTCAATGCATTTTGGGAAAATCTAAGATGGGAGCATCTGGATCAAGTAGTCCCTTGCCAAGGATTCTCAAGGGTTCCCTTCAGTCTGGAACATACATTGGGCTTGTCCATATTTTCATCATTGAAACATTAAAGAATACACCTATGAGCTTTAATATTTCATCTTGGTTTATCACCTTGTGTGTATGTATGTATGTATGCGTGTGTATTATATATATGCTGATGACCTTGGCCTAACAACACAAGCAAAAGACTTTGAAACAGTTGAAATCCAACTTACTAATGCCTTGAAAGATCTCTCCAGCTACTCCAAAGATAACCACCTGAAGCCTAACCCAGCCAAAACACGAGTATGGGCTTTCCATCTATGCAACCGTGAAGCCAACAGGAAATGGAAAATCACCTGGGAAGGTCAAGAACTTGAACATTGTTTCCATCCTAAATATCTCGGTGTCATCTTAGATCGGACACTAGCATATAGGAAACACTGCTTGAACACAAAGCACAAAGTAGCTGCACGAAATAACATCCTGCGAAAACTTACTGGCAGCACATGGGGTGCAGACCCAAAATTAATAAGAACATCAGCCCTGGCCTTGTCTTACTCAACTGCTGAGTATGCCTGCCCAGTTTGGCATAGGTCTGCCCATGCAAAGCAGGTGAACATAGCATTGAATGAAACATGCAGAATAACCACAGGGTGTCTTAAACCCACACCTGTTGATAAACTCAACATGCTAGCTGGCATTGTGCCCCCCCCCCCCCCGATGTGTGATGGGAAGTGGCTGCTAAATGTGATAGAAAAAAGGTTGAACACTGTAAAAGCTATCCACTACCAGCCTCCTCCCAGTAGACTCAAATCAAGGAAAAACTTTATGAGAACTACCACTCCTCTTGGCGTCTCTCCAGCAACAGCAAGTGTATCCCTCTGGGCAGCTAAATCAGGAAATCCCAACTGGATGGCTCCCCACGAGGGTCTTCCTCCAGGGGCAAACCAAGAATGGGCAGCCTGGAAGTCCCTGAATGGACTCAGAAGCGGAGTGGGCAGATCAAAAGACAACCTGGCAAAATGGCACAACCTAGAAGAATCCTCCATCTTGTGCGACTGTGGAGCAGAACAAACAACTCCGCACCTGTATGCTTGTCCACAATGTCCTGCCTCATGTACAGAGGAAGAATTGTTTGAGGCTACAGACAATGAGGTCTCTGTTGCCAGTTTTTGGTCAAAAAATATTTAGCTACTTGTGCTCCTTCTATTTTTATCAGTTTTATACTAATTTATGCAATGCTTTTGATATGAAATAAATACCTTGTATATTTTGATTTAATTTATAGCATACACTGAATTCTAGCTGGATAATTTATTTTGCAATTGCATATATGGTTTAATATTTGCATTACTCCATCCTTTTGTGTTTTTGTTGTTTTGCTTGTAAAACGTCATGCACAGAGATAGTGCTATATAAATAACAGGGGTGTGCATAATTTTGTTTTTAATTCATATTTCAGATCAAATTTGTTTAATTCGTTCATTCAAATCTATATTAGAAACATGCAGGAAAGGGGGGAATTAGACATTGAAACATGCATGAATCAATTTCGTTAAGTTTTTGTAACATTTGGATGTCTCCCAAGGTCAGTTCAATTTTCAGTATAAACATTGAGCAACTTTGGTAAAGAAGAGAACATAAAGTGCTTTAAAATCTAATCTTTTTTCTTTGGCCTGATCACCATAAGGAAGGCACTGCGAGTGGGACTAAAGTTAATGGGCAGGAGACTGAGAACACAGCCATCTTAAATGTAGTTTGGGAAGGCAAGGTCCCCTATGGCAAAGAATGAAAAAGGCCCTGCCCTAAAACTACATTTCCCAGAATGCAATGCTCAGCACCTGAAGGACCCAATGAGGGCTGCAGCAGTCAGCCGTTTAGAATCAGTCTAATAATAATAAAATTATTGAATCTGCAAAGAGGACTAAAGTAGGTAATAGTAGTAGTATAAATCTGTGCTAACTTGAAGTTATGTATACTAAGTATACTTTAGAAACACTTTAGAAACAAAGTGCCAGTGCCCCCCAGTTTTTAAGTACTTTTGATCCCTAATAAACAACCATTGATGGTGTTGGTGATGGTGATAATAATCTCTTTCAAACTAAGATCATTCAATCAATTGCATTTTAACGTTGTTCCTTTCTTTTCTTTTGGCAGGGTTGGATATGGAGGAGGGAAAAGAAGGTGGGACGTGGCTTGGAATCAGCAAGAAAGGCAAGATGGCAGCCCTGACAAACTATATGCAACCAAAGATAGACAAGAATGCAAAAGGACGAGGTACGGTGGCAATGAGAGGTGGAGTTTGTAGGAAAGGAAGGGAAAACCTCAGGTCTAGGGGCCAAATAGGGCTTTCCAAGTGACTATGCCCCCTTCACCGTGACACAATCTTTTGCTGGTTGCTTCACCTCTTAAGACTTAGGTTTTGATACTAAGAGTTTGAAGGTGATACATCATAATTTTGGTATCACCCTTTTGCCTTTAGCACATTCCATTACAGGATTGTGGTTGCTGAGAAGATCTCTAAAATGTAATTCATTTCCCTGTGGGTTGAAAAAGGTTCCCCACCTTTCCTGCCAAAGTTATTGGGGCTGCGGTGGCACAGTGGGTTAAACATTTGTGCTGCTGAACTGCTGACCTGAAGGTTGGAGGTTTGAATCTGCGGGATGAGGTGAGCTCCTGTTGTTAGCTCCAGCTTCTCTCAGCCCAGCAGTTCGAAAACATGCAAATGTGAATAGATAAATAGGTACTGCTTCGGCAGGAAAGGCATAAGATGCTCTAAGCAGTCATGCCGGTCACATGACCAAGAGGTGACAAAGCAGGCTCCTTGGCTTGGAAATGGAGAACAGCACCTCCCCCAGGGCCAGAGATGAACACCGCCTCCAAAGCTGGAAATGAAAGGAGAAGCCTTTGCTTTTGTGTTTGTGTGTCTCTTTGTATTGTAACGAGGTACTGAATGTTTGCCAGTATCTGTTTATACTATAATCCGCTCTGAGTCCCCACAGGGAGAAGAGCGGAATACAAATAAAGTTGTTGTTATTATTATTATTATTATTATTATTATTATTAGCAATAACAATAGCATTATTAATAGCTATATTAATAGCTATATTAATAGCAATGCTAATAATACATAATAATAAATTGTTTTATCCCGCCTTTCTATTGACACAGGAACCCAAGGCAGCTTACAGTGACATTATTTATTATTTATTTATTTATTTCTTGCACTTATTGACCGCCACTCTCAGCCCTAGGGGCGACTCGTGGCGGTGAACAACAACATATAAAGACAATGTACAAAAATCACAACAATACACACCAAAACTACTACTACACATATACTTATACTAAAAATCCGCTTCGCCTAATCCTGGGGTCATAGCCAAATTCGTAGTCATAGTCCATTCTAAGTCGTTCCACAGATACCCTTAGTTGAAGGCCTGCTCGCAGAGCCAAGTTTTCAGGCTCCTGCGAAAGGCCATCAAAGTGGGCGCCTGTCTAACTTCAGTAGGGAGGGTGTTCCACAACCGGGGGGCCACCACCGAGAAGGCCCGCTCCCTCGTCCCCGCCAGACGTGCCTGTGAGGCAGGCGGGACCGAGAGAAGGGCCTCCCCGGATGATCTCAAGGCCCTCGTGGGCTCGTAGGCCGAGATGCGGTCTGCAAGGTATTTTGGGCCGGAACCGTTTAGGGCTTTGTAGGATAACACCAGCACCTTAAATTGGGCCCGGTAGCAGATCGGCAGCCAGTGGAGCTGGGACAGCAGGGGCGTTGTATGCTCTCTGCGCCCTGCTCCTGTTAACAACATGGCTGCCGCGCGTTGGACTAGCTGAAGCTTCCGGGCCGTCTTCAAGGGCAGCCCCACGTAGAGAGCGTTGCAGTAGTCGAGGCGGGATGTGACCAAAGCATGTACCACCGTGGCCAAGTCAGGCTTCCCAAGATACGGGCGCAGCTGGCGCACGAGCCTAAGCTGTGCAAATGCTCCCCTGGTCACCGCCGAAACCTGGGGCTCCAGGCTCAGCGATGAGTCCAGGGTCACACCCAAGCTGCGAACCTGCGCCTTCAAGGGGAGTGCGACCCCGTCCAGCACAGGCTGTAACCCTATACCCTGCTCGGCCTTACGACTGACCAGGAGTACCTCTGTCTTGTCTGGATTTAATTTCAGTTTGTTCGCCCTCATCCAGACCATTACAGCGGCCAGGCACCGGTTCAGGACTTCGACAGCCTCCTTAGTAGCAGGTGGAAAGGAGTGACAGAGTTGGACGTCATCTGCGTACAGGTGACACCGCACCCCGAAACTCCGGATGATCTCACCCAGCGGCTTCATGTAGATGTTAAACAGCAAGGGGGACAAGATGGAACCCTGAGGAACGCCACAGGTCAACGGCCGTGGCGTTGAACAGGAGTCCCCCCATAACACCTTCTGGGTACGACCCTCCAGAAATGACCGGAGCCACTGCAGCGCAGTGCCCCCGAGACCCATCTCCGCAAGGCGTCCCAGAAGAATACCGTGGTCGACGGTATCGAAGGCCGCTGAGAGGTCCAGGAGCACCAACAGGGACACACTCCCCCTGTCTAGCTCCCAGCGCAGATCATCCACTAAGGCGACCAAGACCGTCTCTGTACCATGTCCCGGTCTGAAACCAGACTGTGCCGGATCCAGATATCCGTGTCTCTCAAGAATACCTGGAGTTGTGAGGCCACCACGCTTTCCGTGACTTTGCCCAAAAAGGGGAGATTGGAAACAGGCCGAAAGTTGTCAAATTAGTGGGGTCCAGTGATGGTTTCTTCAACAGCGGCTTTATAACAGCCTGTTTTAGGCTCGCTGGAATCTTGCCTTCCCGGAGGGAGGCATTAACCACCACCGTTACCCACTCGGCCAATCCCCCTCTGGCCTCCTTCAGAAGCCAGGATGGGCAGGGGTCTAGGATGGACATGGTGGGTCTCATTCCTCCAAGTATCTTGTCCACATCCTCGGGTTTCACAAACTGAAAAGAATCCATCAAAATAGGACAAGCAGGTGCTTGTGTCACATCCCCAGAGACTGCATTTAATGTGGCGTCCAGCCCAGAGCGGATCAAAGCGACTTTGTCTGCAAAGAACCGAGCAAATGCTTCACAGCGCGTTGCCGAGTTGTCGGGGCTCCCACCTGAGATAGGGGGAGTTAAAAGACCTCTGACAATCCGGAACAACTCCGCCGGACGGTTTTTTGCAGACGCAATAGTGGCCGCAAAGAAAGTTTTCTTTGCGGCTTTTATTGCCACGGCATATGCCCTTAAAAAGGACACAAACCGTGCTCGGTTTGGCTCGCTTGGATCCGAGCGCCACACGCTCTCTAGAACCCTCTTCTTTCGCTTCATCGCTGCCAGCTCCTCAGTAAACCAAGGAGCTGGTTTAGCTCGGTTACTTGAGAGGGGACGTTCCGGAGCAATCATGTCAATTGCCCTAGTCATCTCCCCATTCCAGAGAGCGACCAAGGCCTCGACATGATCACCTACCGAGGTGGCGGGAAACTCCCCAAGAGCCTTCAGGAATCCATTCGGATCCATTAGCCTCCTGGGGCGGACCATCTTAATAGGTCCTCCACCCTTGCGGAGGTTAGGGGGCGCAGTGAGTCTAAATCTAACCAGGAAGTGGTCGGTCCACGGCAACGGAGAGATAGACAACTCCTCCACACCGCCACCCTGCTCCCATCCCTGGCAGAAAACCAAGTCCAATGTGTGTCCAGCACAGTGGGTGGGGCCAGTTATTCGTTGGGACAGCCCCATGGTTGCCATGGCGGACATGAAGTCCTGAGCCGCACCTGTGAGGGTTGCCTCGGCATGGATGTTGAAGTCCCCCAGCACAAGAAGCCGTTGGGACTCCACCGCCAGGCTCGAGACCCCCCCGCTAGCTCAGGTAGGGAGACTGTAGTGCAGCGAGGTGGACGGTACACTAACAGAATCCCTATTCTGTCCCGGTCACCCACCCTCAGATGGACGCATTCAAAATTTGTGGTCTGCGGGATGGGGCTCCTGGTCAGATGGATGGAATCTCTATAGACCACTGCGACACCGCCTCCCCGTCCTCCGGCTCTTGGTTGGTGTTGCACGGAAAAACCTGGAGGACAGAGCTGGGAGAGGTTTACGCCCCCCGCTTCATCCAGCCAGGTCTCCGTGATGCACGCCAGATCTGCCCGCTCCTCCAGGATTAAGTCCTGGATCCAAGTTGTTTTTCCGTTGACAGACCTGGCGTTCAACAACAACAAATTCTATGACACAATATAATAGAATTTTAAAAAATGTTTTGGACTACAGTAAAATATTGCCTTGCAATGTAAAGGTAACTTATTAATGAAGAGAACAAAACATGATTGCTCAAGCTTGTGTTATTTTTGTGTGTGTTTTGTCCTGGACAATGAGCCCGAAAGGTTATTCATTTCCAATACAGGGCTGAGCTAGCTCAGTGCAGAGAAATGTCAGTTCTCCTCCCTGGAAATCATTCTCCTGGACTCTAAACCTCTCTTTTCCCAACCCTGTTCTATTCAGGTGCCCTGGTGACAAATTTTTTGACATCGGACGTGGACGGTTACTCTTACTTGAAGAAAGTTGCCTTAGAAGGACACCTTTACAATGGATTTAATTTAATAGCAGCGGACTTGAAGTAAGTCTATAAAAGCTTCACAATTCAAGCAGCAAAGAGGGAAAAATGGTGAGACCATGGAGTGCAGATAACGGATAATACTAGATGTTAGCAGCAGCATCTGTCTTAGCAAAAGCTCTAGTTCTTCTTGTCTTTAAAAGAAAAACCTCCAGCATTTGGATTCAGGAGAGAGAAGGCAAGCTTGTGTAGTATTCCAAATGTGCACAAATCTTTTCCTTCTGCAATTTCAGATATTTAGAAACTTGACACTGTCCATTCCTTGTAGTTTCCACCTTTTGATTGGTTCATTAAAAAGTAAACATTATGCTTATAAAACAACATAATTTTTTAAAGTAATGGTTTCCTGTGTTTGGTGTATGCTTTTTATAATGGTGTGATTTTATTGTATGTCTTTTATGTTTATATGGATTGAGTTTCTTGTATCCCACTTCAAGCTGTTAGGAGAGGCGGGTAACACCTAAAATCTATTATTATTATTATTATTATTATTATTATTATTATTATTATTTCCATTTCACATGTTTTTTTAGATTTTGTATTTTTGAAGGCATAATTCTTAAGTTCCATTCCAGCTGTATGGCATAATTAACCAGGAAGATTCACAACCCATTGGGTAAACTCTTACTTTGCAAGATTTTTTTAATACTCCAAAGATCTTGAGTTTCCCAAGATCCTACTTTTACCCTGTAAAAGTAACTATATACTGGAATGCCTAGAGCTTTGCTGGTACCTTATGACCTCAACTGTATTATGTATATTTGACAAGAAGGGGAAGAGCCTCTCATGCAATAATTGTATTTTGTAACCATTTAATAGAGTATGTCGAAAATGAATGTGCCAGTGAGAGATAGCCAGCATTCTCAACATGCCAGACCAGCTGTATTTTCCCCTGTCCCACTGTCAGAGCTTGGAAAATTACTTGTTTATAACTTCTCAATTCTTCCAGCCAGGACAGCTGCTTTTCCCTGTCCAAAACTGCATTGTTTAATATTTTCTCTCCTCCCTTCTAGACATCTGTCCCAGCTAGGGTATATACTTGTTTTTGTTCTTTATGCTGTCTTTTGATGAGATTCTGGCATACCGCTATTGGAGGCAAGAACCAGGACACAACCACAGAAATAGACATTTCTGAAAAAAATTGAACATCTTAATGAGTTATAGCTGAATAGGGTGACCTGGCATGAGACAATAATAATAATAATAATAATAATAATAATAATAATAATAATAATAATAATAATACACTTTATTTATATTCTACTTTATCTCCCCGGAGGGACTCAGAGAGGATTACAGTATACATATATAAGGCAAACATTCAATGCTTTTTACACAGTGAACAAGAATGGCATACAGAACACAGACAAAGGTAAAGGCCTTCTCCTTCCATCTCTGGCTTCTGGAGGCGATGCTCAACTCCAGCCATGGGGAGGTGATCTTGTTCCAATTTTCCATGCCGAAGAGCCTGTTGTCCATAAGCATCTGATTGAGTTGCCGGCATGTCTGCATGGGACACCCTCTTAGCTTCCTGCCAAGGCATTACATATTGATCTACTTGCATTGCATGCCTTCAAACTACTAGGTTAGCAGAAGCTAGGGCTCCACCTCTGTAACAAAAACAGCTATATCATAAATAATTATAATTATAATAATAATAACAACTAGGTCTGTAATAATAGGTCTGTATAGGTCTGTAATAGCTATAGGTCTGTAATAATAATATCCATACATCTGTAATAATAATACCTGTATGTCAATAATATCTATACATCTATAATGATAACAATACCTATTTGCCGTTAATAATAATATCTGTGTCTATAATAATAATATCTACATCTATAATAATAATAAAAATAATAGTAATAACACCTATATAATTTCTTTGAACTGGGTTATATGGCAGTGTGGACTTAGGTAACCCAGGGCCCTTCCACACATCCATATAACCCTTTGGCCTCGAGGAGACTGAAATGGGCCTATATTAGGTTGACACTTTGCCACTTCAGTTGTGTATTGATAGTATAGAAACCAGCTCTTCCTCTTTTCCTTTTTTCCTATTTCTTCACAATGGGCCACAGCAACGCGTACAGCTAGTAGGATAATAATAATAGTGATAGTAATAATGTATTTATTATCCTCCTCTGGGGCTGTGGTGGTATAGCGGGTTAAACCACTGAGTTGCTGACCTTGCTGACCACAAGGTTGGTGGTTCAAATCCACGGGACGGGGTGAGCTCCCATTGATAGCCCCAGCTTCTGCCAACTTAGCTGTTTGAAATCATGCAAATGTGAGTAGATCAATAGGTACCGCTTTGGCAGGAAAGTAACGGTATTCCATGCTATCATGCCAGCCACATGATGTTGGAGGCGTCTACGGATAAAGCCGGCTCTTCGGCTCAGAAATTGAGATGAGCACTGCCCCCCAGAGTTGGAATCGACTAGACTTAATGTTAAGGGGAAGCCTTTACCTTTACTACCTTCCTCTCCTTGCGGCTCGAAGTGGGTTACAACATGGTTAAAACACAACACTATTAAAAGACATATAACAAATATACACAGGTAAAATGCAGGTTAAGGTTCACAAGTTAAAACCGACTGGGTAGGCCTGCTGGAACAGATAGGTCCTCAGTTGTGTCTTGAATTCTGACAACTGATTTTGAAGAAGACTATATTTCACAGTCTTCTTCTCTGGGCATCCGATGAAAAGGAGGTCCTCTGGGTGACAGTAACCAGTGATCAATAGGAGCCAGCATGGGTTTGTCAAGAACAAATCCTGCTAAACTGTCTCTTGTATTATCTCATTACTAGGACTGCATTCAGTTCTGAGGACTGCATTTAAAAAAGAATGTAAACATTGTAGAAGGACCTTCCCTGCTGCAGTGCCTCATTTGTGGAATGCCTTCCCATTGGATGCCCAGTTGCTGCTGGCTTGGGTCTCAGTCCACTGTCAGAGTAAAACATGGATCAGCCTGCCATGCTGTAGCTGGGGCCAGTCCTCCAGTGGAAAACTATTAGCACCAGGGTATATTTATGCATTTATTTAAAATGTGTATCTCATCTAAAGATCTGGCATGTATCACGGAGACCTGGTTGGACGAAGCTGGAGGGGTTAATCTCACCCAGCTTTGCCCTCCAGGTTATGCTGTGCAGCACCAACCGAGATCCGGGGGGCGGGGAGGCGGAGTTGCAATAGTCTATAAAGATTCCATCTCCTTGATCAGGTGCCCGGCCCTGTTTGAATGTGTCCACCTGAGGTTAGGAGACGGGGACAGAATAGGGCTGTTGTTGGTGTACCGACCACCCCGCTGCACCACGGCCGCCATACCTGAGCTTGCAGAGTTGGTCTCGGGCCTGGCATTGGAGTCCCGGCGGCTTGTAGTGCTGGGGGACTTAAATGTCCATGCAGAGTCCACGCTTTCAGGAGCGGCTCAGGACTTCATGGCCGCCATGGCAACTATGGGGCTGTCCCAGCTAGTATCTGGCCCTACCCACTGTGCTGGACACACACTTGACTTGGTCTTCTGTCAGGGTTAGGAAGAAGGTGGCGGTGTGGAGGAGTTGTCAATCTCTCCTTTGCCATGGACTGACCACCACCTGATCAGGTTTAGACTGGCTGCAACTTCTAACCTTCGCAGGGGTGGTGGACCCATTAAGATGGTCCGCCCCAGGAAGCTTATGGATCCAGAAGGATTCCTGATGGCTCTTGGGGATGTTCCCGCTGCCTTGGATGGTGATTCTGTCGATGCCCTGGTCGCTCACTGGAATAGTGAGTTGACTAGGGCAATAGAAATGATTGCTCCGGAGCGCCCCCTCTTAAATTGCCGGGCTAAACCATCTCCTTGGTTTAACGAGGAGTTGGTGGAGTTAAAGCGAATAAAGAGGTGGCTAGAGAGCATGTGGCGGAAAGAGCCCAGCGAGCCAAATCGAACACGCCTGCGCCTTTATCTATAGGCGTACGGCGCGGCAATAGAGGCCGCGCAGAATGCTTTCTATTTGGCCAATATTGCGTCCGCAAGGAGCCGTCCGGCAGAGCTGTTTCGAGTAGTCAGAGGGTTGTTGAACCCCACCTCGAGTGGGTCCCCTGACGACTCGGCAGCGCGCTGTGAAGCCTTTGCTCAGTACTTTGCGGACAAAGTCGCTTTGATCCGTTCGGGCTTTGACACCACATTAACGGCAGTCTCTGAGGATGTAACTCAAGCATCTGCTTGTCCAGTTTTGTTGGATTCGTTTCGATCTGTTCAACTTGACGAGGTCATCAGGGTTCTTGGGGAGGTGAGGCCTACCACATGCATCCTAGACCCCTGCCCTTCCTGGCTGGTAAAAGAAGCAGGAGGGGGTTTGGCAGAGTGGGTAAAGGTGGTGGTTAATGCCTCCCTCCGGGAAGGCAATATTCCAGCCAGCTTAAAACAAGCTGTTATTAAACCGCTGTTGAAAAAACCATCACTAGACCCCACTCAATTCGTCAACTTTCGGCCAGTTTCCAATCTTCCCTATTTGGGCAAAGTCCTGGAACGTGTGGTGGCCTCGCAACTCCAGGAGTTCCTGGTAGACACGGACCATCTAGATCCGGCACAGTCTGGTTTTAGGCCAGGGCATGGTACTGAGACAGCCTTGGTCGCCTTAGTGGATGATCTTCGCCGGGAACTGGACAGGGGGAGTGTGTACCTGTTGGTTCTGTTGGACCTCTCTTCGGCCTTCGATACCGTCGACCATGGTATCCTTCTGGGACGCCTCGCAGGAATGGGTATTGGGGGTACTGCTTTGCAGTGGCTCCCGTCCTTCCTCGAGGGTCGCTCCCAGAAGGTGTCACTAGGGGACTCCTGCTCGACTCCTCGGCCATTGTACTGTGGAGTCCCGCAGGGTTCAGTACTGTCCCCTATGTTGTTTAACATATACATGAAGCCGTTGGGAGAGATCATCTGGAGTTTTGGGGTGCGGTGTCATCTGTACGCAGATGATGTCCAACTCTATCACTCCTTTCCATCTGCTACTAAGGAA